GCTACATTAGGGGTGTGTTGCTTAATATGCAAATGAGTACCTGCTACAAAAAGAGCCCAAACCCCAACACAGTTCCCCCGAGGCATCATGGGGCCCACCGACACTTTACTTGGTGCCCGCCAAGTGTTTTCAGAAAGTGGGTGGAGCTAGGTGGGGTTCTCGCCCAGCACAGCTTCTGATTGGCCGTGGAGATGAAAATAACGTCTCTTCGGGGGCAACCACCACCCAGTGTTTTATTCCCTCACTTTTCTTGCTGTATTTTTAAAACTACTCTTCTCCCCTGCCCTTGGGTTACACGTGTGTGTTGGGAGACGCCTGCTCCTTGGGAGGAAAGCGATGGCAAACCTAGATAGCATAATAAAAAGTAGAGACGTCACCCTGCCAACAAAAGTCCGTATGGTCAGAGCAATGGTATTCCCAGTTGTCATGTATGGCTGCAGGAGTTGGACCATAAGGAAAGCCGAGCACTGAAGAATAGATGCTTTCGAATTATGGTGCTGGAGAAGACTCTTGGGAAGAGATCAAATCAGTCGATGACTGTTCCCTGGAAGGCCAGAGACTGAAGGTGAAGCTCAAGTACTTTGGCCACCAAATGAGAAGGGAGCACTCAGTGGAGAAGGCCCTGATGCTGGGAAAGACTGAAGGTCAAAGAAGAAGGGGGCGGCAGAGGACGAGATTAAGTGTGCAGACTCTAATCTGGGAGAACCGGGTTTGATTCCCCACTCCTCCACTTGCAGCTGCTGGATGACCTTGGGCAAGCCATAGTTCTGGCACAGCTGTTCTTGAAAAAGAGCCATTTCTGTCAGAGCTCTCTCAGCCCCACCTACCTCACAGGATGCCTGTTGTGGGGAGGGGAAGGGAAAGGAGTTTGTGAGCCGCTCTGAGACTCCCTTGGGTACTGAAGGCCGGGGTATAAATCCAATCTCTTCTTCTTCAACAACAACAAAAGTGGAGGGCCAACAACAGCGCATAGAGGCCGAGACCTCTCCTCCATGAATCCTTCTCATCCCCTTTTCAAGCTGTTTTCTCCTGTGGCCATCACTACTTCCTCTGGCGGCAAACTCCGCACTTAAAATGCACATCTGCCTGCTTCAGCGATGCACAGAATTCTTCTGTGTAGATGAGCCAGAGAAAAGAATTCCCATTTTTTGGTGTGTGCCGAATCCACGTGAGTCAACAGGTTGCATCTTACCTGCCGGCTCTTCTATCTCAGAAGGAATTATCTTGTTTGCACTAGTTCGCGGAACTCAAAACTGCAGGACCCGAGGGCTTCAGATGGCTCAGGGAATTATGCCCGGTACGTCAGACTGGGTTTCTGCCCCACCTGGGACCTGCTACGCCTCTCTCCTCCCGGCCTCCTGTGCCAGGTTTCTCTCACTGCAACTCCAGGATTTTCTAGAGTGGTTTTTTTTTTTTTAATTAACACCTGCCCGGTTGGAGTGGCAAGGCGAGGGAGCTGGATAATTAGCGGGAACAAGCTAACAAGCCGTTTCCGGGGTGACGGGCGGCTTCGAGGAGGGGTGGGCGGGGCTGCCAATTCCCTCGAGGAGCGGGCTTCCTTCAGGAGAGAGCTCTGCTTGAAAGCCTGGCTTCCTGAAGCCTAAGAGAGTGGGAGGGAGGGAATTGCACTTTGCATGTGCTCAGAGGGACATCAGCATTATGATTATTCCACTTTCCCGCCACGCCAGGGTTGGGCCCTCTAGTTCTCTCCCCTACCATTGTGTTGGGCTGAGACGGGAAATCAAAATGGCACCTGTCTTCCAAATCTATATTCGATGTGGCACACTAGTTGGTTACAGTGGTTAGAAGATTTGGTTTTATACCCTGCTTTTCACTACCCGAAGGAGTCTCAGAGCAGCTTATAATCGCCTTCCCTAACTCTCCCCACAACAGACAGTAAGTAGGTAAGTAGGGCTTAGAGAGCTCTGAGAGAACTGTGACTGACCCAAGGTCACCCAGCTGGCTTCAAGTGGAGGAGTGGGGAAATCAACTCTGGTACTCTACCGCTCCTAGACAGCCAGTTTGGAGTAGTGGTTAGGGGCGCAGACTCTAATCTGGGAGAAATGGGTTTGATTCCCCACTCCTCCATATGCAGCTGCTGGCGTGACCTTGGGTCAGTCACAAGTTCTCTCAAGAGCAGTCCTCGAATGAGCTCTCTCAGCCCCACCTACCTCCCAGGGTGTCTGTTGTGGGGAGAGGAAAGGGAAGGATATTGTAAACTGCTCTGAGACTCCATGTGAAGAGCGGAGTGTAAATCCAATCTCCTTTTCTCTTCTTCTTTCCCCAAAGGATGAAAAGCCATCCCAAATAAAAGGTAGAATAATGGAATCACGTGGACGCAACTGGGAAGCACTCCAATTGGACTCACGGCAGGTGCTGGAGAATCTAAGCAAGCCTGTGTATTAGATCAGCTCCAAGACCCTCCCTTTTAGCAGGGAAGAGATTATTCCCTTTCGGGATACCAAACACGGCAGCGTCCTGTGATTGGTGGAAGGTCAAATGTGAAAAGGGATCCTTGTACACCATTCACCGGTCGGATTCACGGCCATATAATCACAACGGCTTTTTAAAAAAGAAGAATCAGATAAACTGCATGGAGGACAAAGATCTATCTCTGGGTATTAGCCATGACAGCAAAAGGGAGCCTCCATTCCCAGAGGCAGTCTACCAGATACTGGCAACAAAACAGCCAGGGGCAGACAGTTTGCCTTCACACTCTGCTTGGGAGGTTCTCAAACCTGCTACATGTGGGGCTACAGTACTTTAGACTGGGTTGTTTTGGAATATTCGCCTATGCTGAGAATGCCGTCGAATAAAACGGTGAGAGAGCTGAACCTTTTCTCTCTTTTGCGCTCATTCTCTATTGGCATGGAACTTTCCATTTGACACTGGAATCCCCCTTCTCAAATTGCAGGGCTCTGCCTGAGGCACTTTTCCTCCCTCTCCCAAAGTACTAGAACTCGAGGGCATCCAATGAAGCTGATGGGCAGTAGGATCAGAACAGACAAAAGGAAATACTACTTTACACAGAGTGATTAAAATGTGGAATTTGCTGACAGAGGTTGTAGTGATAGCCACAAGAATAAACAGCTTTAAAAGGGGATTAGATAGATTCACGGAGGACAGTGGCTAACTAAATGGTACCTCCATGTTCAGAGGGAGCAAACGTCTGAATACCAGTGCCCGGAGGCAACATCAGGAGAAGGCCTTGGCCTCTCTGCCCTGTTGTGGACCTTCCAGAGGAAGTGGTTGGCCACTGTGTGAGACCGGATGCTGGACTAGGTGGACCCTCACTGTTCTGATCCAGCAGGGCTCTTCAGATGTTCTTATGAGGGGAAGAAGGCCTCAGCCTCTCTGCCCTGTTGTTGGCCCTCCAGAGGAACTGGCTGAGGCCACTGAGTGAGACCGGATGCTGGACTAGGTGGACCCTCACTGGTCTGATCCAGCAGGGCTCTTCTGATGTTCTTATGAGGGGAAGAAGGCCTCAGCTCTTCTGGCCTGCTGGCGGCCCTCCAGAGGAACTGGCTGAGGCCACTGTGTGAGACGGGATGCTGGACTAGGTGGACCCTCACTGGTCTGATCCAGCAGGGCTCTTCTGATGTTCTTATGAGGGGAAGGCGGCCTCAGCCTCTCTGCCCTGTTGTTGGCCCTCCAGAGGAACTGGTTGAGGCCAATGTGTGAGACAGGATGCTGGATGAGATGGACCCTCACTGGTCTGATCCAGCAGGGCTCCTCTTGTGTTCTTATGAGGGGAAGGCCTCGGCCTCTCTGCCCTGTTGTTGGCCCTCCAGAGGAACTGGTTGAGGCCAATGTGTGAGACAGGATGCTGGATGAGATGGACCCTCAGTGGTCTGACCCAGCAGGGCTCTTCTGATGTTCTTATGGGGGGAAGGCCTCGGCCTCTCTGCCCTGTTGTTGGCCCTCCAGAGGAACTGGTTGAGGCCAATGTGTGAGACAGGATGCTGGATGAGATGGACCCAGTGTGTGAGACGGGATGCTGGACTAGGTGGACCCTCACTGGTCTGATCCAGCAGGGCTCTTCTGATGCTCTTATGAGGGGAAGGCCTCGGCCTCTCTGCCCTTTTGCTGGCCCTCCAGAGAAACTGGTTGAGGCCACTGTGTGAGACGGGATGCTGGACTAGGTGGACCCTCACTGGTCTGATCCAGCAGGGCTCTTCTGATGCTCTTATGAGGGGAAGGCCTCGGCCTCTCTGCCCTTTTGCTGGCCCTCCAGAGGAACCGGTTGAGGCCAGTGTGTGAGACGGGATGCTGGACTAGATGGACCCTCACTGGTCTGACCCAGCAGGGCTCTTCTGATGTTCTTATGAGGGGAAGGCCTCGGCCTCTCTGCCCTGTTGTTGGCCCTCCAGAGGAACTGGTTGAGGCCACTGTGTGAGACGGGATGCTGGTCTAGATGGACCCTCACTGGTCTGACCCAGCAGGGCTCTTCTGATGTTCTTATGAGGGGAAGGCCTCGGCCTCTCTGCCCTGTTGTTGGCCCTCCAGAGGAACTGGTTGAGGCCACTGTGTGAGACAGGAGGCTGGTCTAGATGGACCCTCACTGGTCTGATCCAGCAGGGCTCTTCTGATGCTCTTATGAGGGGAAGGCCTCGGCCTCTCTGCCCTTTTGCTGGCCCTCCAGAGGAACCGGTTGAGGCCACTGTGTGAGACGGGATGCTGGACTAGGTGGACCATTGATTGGTCTATTCCGGCAGGGCTGTTCTGACATTCTTATGCCCCCTCAGTCTCCTGGCCACCTGAAATATGTCTGGCTGAAACAAAGCTCTGATCTGGTCCCGCAACGTACCTCGTACTTTCTTTCAGGTCTCCAGAGCGGCTCATGAATCCACCAAAACTGTTTGCAGTGACTAAAGAACCGACTGAAAGAACCAACTTAAAAACAACAACAACACTCGATAAACCTCTTGGGAATAAACCCAGTTCTATTTACTCCAAGGCACTTTGGTAAAAAAATAAAAAAATAAAATAAATTGCAGCGGGAGACAAACTGGGGGAGGACCCCCCCCCCCCAATTGGAATGTCACCATTAAGTCCTTCATTTGGAGCTGGGGAGAAACCCAGGCCCCTCAGCCTGCGGCCTGGAGACTGAGGGAAGAGCAGGGACAGAGTCAGAGAGGAGAAGAGGGAGAGAAAACAGTCCAAAAGCAGGGATGTGGGACAATTAAGGCCACACCCGGATGCACTGCTTTGGTGGTGGAAACGCAGGCCGCTGAGGGGAGAGGCAAGAGATGGCATTTTTTAAGCCACTGTATCTCTGAGGCGGACGGGAAGGGAATCCGTTCCCCTTGATCACCTGGGTTCCGATGCCGTTCCCCCGTCCGCTACTTCACCGGATCCAGGCAGATCGGTATAAGTCTTCTAAGGTGTCGTTCAGGGCCTTGCGTTTTTAGAGCTGCCACTCGGACCAAGGTGGCGTGACTCATGAGGCACTGACGGCAACGGGGCGTCTCACGGGCCTAGGCGGCCTTGGGTCTCCGGAGAGCCAGGAGACTGTCCGTGGGATGTGGGGGGCCTTCTTCCCATTCCTCGGCCAGCGCTGACGGCACTCGCGGGTCCTCGGTCCTGGGTCTTCAGGCCTGCAGCAGCTTGTAGGGTCTGTTGGGGTCTGGAGGGAAGTGCCAGAAAAGCCAGAAGCGAATGATGCTGGTGACGATGCCCGGAATGTTGGGGATCTGAACAAAAGAACACAAGAGACACCAATGTTGGATCAGGCCAGTGGGCCCATCCAGTCCAACACTCTGTGTCACACAGCGGCCAGAAATACCAGGCGCCAGCAGGAGGTCCAGCAGCGGTAGAGGGAAAGGGCAGGGGCGTGTGGGGTAGCGTGGGGTGAAGGGCAGGCAGGGGAGGGGATGGCAGAGAATCTATGAGCACAATGCCAGGCGCCCCTTCCGTCCAATCTCTCTCCGCCGGGGGTGCTTTATCGGCTTCTCTTTAATTAATTAAAATCAATGGCGCAGGGTTTGTTGGAGGTCGTGGGTGGAAAGTGGGCACCGTTCCTCACAAACCACGCTCCCCCCCCCCATAATGCACTCACACCGAGCAGGCAAGGGGGACTCACGGCAATATAGAGATCCTGAAGGAGAAGTCCGTAGAGTGTCCAGCTGGCTGAGGCCAGGAACGTGGTGACGGTCAGAGGGAAATGGGAAAGAGATGCATTGTGTCGACCGGGTCCTGATGATCTTGGCCTGAGAAGAGGAAGAGGAAGAGGAGGAAGAGGAGGAGGAGGAGGAAGAGGAAGAAGAGATTCTGCTCTGAGACTCCGAGTGAAGGGCGGTCTCCGAGTGAAGACACACTGTAAGGTCGGTGGGGCTGAGAGAGCTCAGACAGAAATTGCTTTTCCCCCCCCAAGGACAGCTCTTATCAGAACTACGGCTTACCCAAGGTCATCCAGCAGCTGCAAGTGGAGGAGTGGGGACTCAAACCTGGTTCTCCCAGGTTAGAGTCTGCGCACTTAACCACTACACCAAACTGGCGGAGAAACGGAGCAAAGAGAATGTGTAGAAACAGGGCAAAGCAGAGTTAATTCACCACCCCCCACAAAATCTGAATGGAGGTGAACATCCCTGCGAGGGCGCAGGGGCTGGGGAGTACACAAGAATTGGGACTGGGGGTCAAATTAGGCCAGAAAGAGGTCCAAAAAGTGTCCACTGCCTTAAGGAGGTGGGATTTATACCCCGCCCTTCACTCGGAGTCTCAGAGCAGTTTACAATCTCCTTCCCCTCCCCACAATGGGGATTCTGGGAGCACAATCTAGGGTGCATGATGGTTAACTTTTCCACCAGGCCTTCAATTAGGGAGCCGCACCACTTACAGCAAGGCCCTGGCCCCAACACCAACGCCAAGAGTAACATAAATATCAATAGCATTATACCACCAACAGCCTGACTCAACCCAGACTATGCTGTCTGCGTATTGCGATTGCTGCAAACATCGGCCATCGTTACATTAGTTGTACTAGCGCTTTTCCTGCCAACCTAGCAGTTTGAAAACAAGAAATTGCAAGTAGATAAATAGGTACCACTTCGATGGGAAGGTAACAGCGTTCCGTGCGCCTTGGTGCTTAGTCATGCCGGCCACATGACCACGGAAACGTCTTCGGACAGCGCTGGCTCTTCGGCTTTGAAACGGAGATGAGCACCACAACCCTAGAGTTGGATTTGACTGTCTTTCAAGCAAGGGAACCTTTTACCTTTATTAGCGCTTTATAATTTGTTATATTTAGGGCTGTATTGTGATTTCATTAATCTTCCTGTTTTATTGTTTTTATACAGTTTTCTAAGCCGCCCTGAGACTGCTTTGCAGGGAGGGCGGGATTCAAGTCAAATAAAATAAATAAATAAATAAAGAGCGGGCACCCGACAGGCGTCACTGCTGCCCCATATGAACTGGGGAGCCCTGGGATACACTGCGCGGGGACCTCCAGGGTACACATTCACCGCTCCTCGGGAGGAGTGGTCCAGCGACCCGTCTGCCCGCCAGTCACCTCCCACATCAAAAATCCCACCGAGCGCAGCTGTAACTTGCCAGGTCAGCCAACGGCGAGAGGTACATGGTGATGGTGAAGAGGCTGCAGAAGAGTCCCAGGCGGGCCAGGCGGGTCGAGACATCGGGGACGAGCAGGTTGAAATAGCAGTAGCCGAGGAGGAGCACTGCCAGCAAGCCCGTGGTCTTCAACAGCACGGCACGCTAAGCAGAGAAGAAGAAGAAGAGAAGAAGAGACTGGATTTATACCCCGCCCTGCACTCTTAGTCTCAGACCGGTTTACAAACTCCTTTCCCTCCCGCTCCCCACAACAGACACCCTGTGAGGTCGGTGGGGCTGAGAGAGCTCTGACACAAACTGCTCCTTTTCGAGGACAGCTGTGCCAGAGCTTGTGACTGACCCAAGGTCATCCAGCCAGGTGCAAGTGGAGGAGTGGGGAATCAAACCTGGTTCTCCCAGATTAGAGTCCGCACGTCTGCCGCCCGCCCGGCGGGGGGGGGGGGGCGGGGAGACGTGAATTTGGAAGCAACGGCGATCTCCAGGGACAGTCAACAGTGTCCAGTGTGGCGCAGTGGGCAGAGCCAGGTTCTCAGTGCAGTCACACTGAGTTTCATAAAACTGGGGAAGAGGCTAGACTGTCATACTAGGAGTAAGATGCTCCCTCTCCCCACTCCCCCACCCTGGTCCATATTTCCAGAAGTTCATAGAATCATAGTATGTTAAGAGTTGGAAGGGACCTTGCAGGTCATCTAGTCCAACCCCCTGCACTCTGCAAGGGCATAGCCGAAAGAGAGCCCTACAAGACACCCGAAAGATGGTCGTCCAGCCTCCGCTTGGAAACGTCCAGCGAAGGAGCACCCACCACCTCCCGAGGCAGTCTGTTGTCTGTTCCGCTGCTCAACCCCTCTTACAGTTAGGAAGTTTCTCCTGATATTTAGCCGGTAACGGCTCCCTTGTAACTTCTACCTATTAGACCTAGTCTTGCAATCCGGAGCAAGAGAGAATAGATCCGCTCCATCCTCTACGTGACAGCCCTTCAGATACTTGAAGACTGCAATCATCTCCCCTCTAAGCCTTCTCTTTCCCAGGCTTCTTTCCAAGTTCTCCACTCTTGTTTTTGGTCCCTAGCGCAGGGGTGTCGAACCCATTTGTTACGAGGGCCGGATCTGACATAAATGAGACTTCATCGGGCCGGGCCATGTGTGTCATGCAATGTAATGCCAGGTAGCGGAGACATAAACTTTATAAAGGACACAAACACAAAGGATTTTTTAAAAACTTAAAATAAAAACATGCTTAGAACATCAGCGCTCTTGCAATATGTTGTTTATTTAACCGTGTCTGATAACTGACACCTCTTGCTCTGGATTACTGCATCAAAAGGTCTGTGCTGTTGCAATCTTGAGTATGCTGTTCAGGTGCGTATCTGTAAGCTGCAAACCTACGATGACGAAGCAGCAGCAGAACTGGAAGAAGAAGCAGAAGACAGCCAGTTCCACTGCGGGCCTGATAGAAGCCCTCTCGGGGCCAGATTTGGCCCCCGGGCCGCATGTTTGACACCCCTGCCCTAGCGAGTTCGCCTCCTCAGTTTGCCAGCCAGAATTTCCAGACTTCTCCTTGCAGTCACAGTGAGTTCCATAAGACTGGGGCAAGGGTTAGATCAGACATGTCAAACATACAGCCCGGGGGCCAGAACTGGCCCCTCGAGGGCTCTTATCCAGCCTGAGAACAACTGGGGGGGGGAAACCAGCCCAGGGAGGGCCTATATTAGGGTATTACACCCCCTGCTGAGGTCCCTCCTTTCCCTAAATGTGGGGCCTCCCCAGGGTCTTCCCCCAGATCTCCAGATGGCAACCTTCAGGGGCGAGGAGTGCTGGTTGGGCCTTGAGGTCTGCTGAGGAGGTGTCTGGGTCACGGTCAGTGGTGCAATATCTCTGGTACCTGGCATTAAATGTTATGGCACACGTGGCCCAGCCTGACAAAGTGACATTCATTAGTTAACTCTGCAGTTTGTCAAAGATGGTCTAGGCTGGTCCTGCATTGGGCAGGGGGGTTGGACTAGATGGTCTGTATGGCCCCTTCCCTACTCTGTGAGCCTATGATTCTATGTCAGATCAGGCCCTCGTAGAAAATGAGTTTGACACCTCTGGGTTCCAGTGTCAGCCTAGGATCTGGGAAGCCCCAGTTCGAATCCCCACTCTGCCACAGAAGCCGGCTGGATGACCTTGGGCTAGTTCTCAGCCTAGCCTACCTAACAGGGTTGTTGTGAGCATAAAATTGAGGAGGGGAGAACTGCACTGTTCCCTCTCAACTGAGTTAGTGTGAGCTGGCTCAAAGGGTTTTTTTAGCCTCTGGCAATGTTCCCCCTAAGCAGTGGAGTCTTGTGAGCAAAAATTCTACTTTGTGAGCTACTGGCAGTAAAGTTGTGAGTGTGTGATTGGGCTGCTGCATAGATTAGTTTGCTCTGGAGCTCTCCTTCCTGAGCCAGGACAAAAATGTGTGAGCCAGAAGCTAAAAAACTGTGAGCTAGCTCATACTAACTCAGCTTAGAGGGAACATCGGCCTCTGGCTCACACATTTTTTGTCTAAGCTCAGGAAGGATGGGGCTCCAGAGCAAACTCATTTAGGCAGCGGCCAAATCGCTCGCTTACAACTTTCATGCCAGTAGCTCACAGAGTAGAATTTTTGCTCACAAGACCCCACAGCTTAGAGGGAGCGTTGCATGTAAGCCGCTTTGGGGGAGAGTGGCCGGATATAACTGAAATAAATAAACGTTCAAGGTAGTAATACACAGGGCTCTTTTTGTAGCAGGAACTCCTTTGCATATTAGGCGACACACCCCTAATGTAGCCAATCCTCCAAGGGTTTACAGAGTTCTTCTTCCAGGGGCTACTGTACACACCTTTAATGTAGCCAATCCTCCAAGAGTTTACAGAGTTCTTCTTCCAGGGGCTACTGTAAGCTCTTGGAGGATTGGCTATGTTAGGGGTGTGTCGCCTAATATGCAAAGGAGTTACTGCTACAAATAGAGGCCCGAGTAATAGTAATCTTCTTGGTTGCAGAATTAATGTCTTGGGCACAGAGGCACAGTGGGGCACAGGGGGACTATTGCTCCAGAAGCGACATCCGCCACAATCAGTCTCAACGTACCTTCCGGCACAAGCTCAGAAAACAACGTTCCTGCGGAGGCCAATCTGGTGGGGAACCCCACCAATTGCCAGGCACCCCTGTGACGCCACCACGACACCTCTTCCCTTCCCTGCCCCCACAATCCTTGGAGCAGCTTAGTGCTTTTCAAAAAAGTTGCCTATTTAACATCAACAACAAAAACCCCAGCAACAAATGAGCTGATTCGTTGCAGCGTGCTGACCAGTTACGAAAAAGGGAGGGATGCAAAGGGAGACAGATCGCTGAGCCCTTGGTCAGCGGCTATACCTGCCTGGCTTTTCTTAGACAAAGACAGACCCAGGAGACGCAGGTCTAAATCCCCACTCTGCACCAAAGCTTGCTGAATGACCTTGGGCCGGGCGGGCCGGCCTACCTCACAGGGCTGTTGTGAGGATGAAACCGGAAGGGACGTCGCACTAAACTCCGTGGAAGAAAGGCGAGGCGAAAAGGCACCGGATAAACAGTTTGTTATCTATCGATCAGAGAGTCAGACACATGGCTGGGGGATACGCCATGAACTTTTGCTTTCGGAGGATGCCTCTTTCCAAGTTTCATATGCCAATAAAAAAATAAATTAAAGAGAGAGAGAGAGAGAGAGATGGGGCCCTGCTTGGAGGGTGGAGACGGTCTCGACACGCTTTCGGCCATTATGGCACTTGTCGAGACTCATTCCTTCTGCATGCATGCGCAGGGAAACATGTGTCTCTCCAGGCCTCGGTTCGGCCTCCCGATACAGGTGTGCTCCATATAGGTGTGGGGCACGTGTTCCCACAAGCTTCCCTGCAGATCTGACAGGTGCAAAGGAGAATCCGCTTTCGGGGACCTCCCCTGAGCCTAACTGGTTTGCCCTGCGCAGCCAGAGGAAATATCCGTTAACTTCTGAAAGTTCCCTTGAGTTCATTTACACCTTTACCTTTCTCCCCAAAGGGGACCCAGAGCGGCTTACGTTGCTCTCCTCTCCTCCATTTTATCCTCGCAACGACCTTGTGAGGTAGGTTGGGCTGAGAGCTGGCCCAGGGTCATCCAGCCGGCTTCTGTGGCGGAGTGGGGATTCAAACCCGGGGCTTCCCAGAACCTAGTCTGACACTCTAACCTCTGCCCCAGTTTGGTGTAGCGGTTAAGTGCGCGGACTCTAATCTGGGAGAACCAGGTTTGATTCTCCACTCCTCTGCATGCAGCTGCAGGTGTGACCTTGGGTCAGTCCCAAGTTCTCTCAGAGCTGTTCTCTCAAGAGCAGTCCTCCAAAGAGCTCTCTCAGCCCCACCCACCTCACAGGGTGTCTGTTGTGGGGAGGGGAAGGGAAAGGAGATTGTAAGCTGCTCTGAGACTTCTTTGGGTAGTGAAAGGCGGGGTATAAATCCAATCTCCGCCTCCTCCTTCTTATGAAACTGCAACGAGAAGTCTGGAAAGCCTGGCTGGCTAACCGAAGAGGTGAACTGAGGATTTAAAAAGAGAGGGGAGAGCCTCTGGAAATATCAACGGGGGGAGGATCTTAATCTTCTCCTTTTCTAACCCCAGCTAAGTGATCCCTATGCCAAAAACCGGGATGAAAATGTCAAAAATAAACAAATGCAACCTGCAGCCTTGTTTATTGCCACTTTCTATCTGCATGAATAAGTCCAGGGCCTCTCCACAAAAACACAGTGACCTGCGAATAACCCGCTGGTACTAAGCAAGGGGGTGTGACTGAAACACTCTGCAATTTATCATCCATGAAGCCACGGATGGACAAGGACGTTGTTGATTCAAGTTCCCAACCCTTAGTCAACAGCTGCGGAAACGTGGCCCTGACGGCGCCAACAGGAGCTCGGCTCAGACTGCACACGGTACACTTTTACTGGAGCCGCACTTCTTCAGAATGCAAAATGGGGAAAGGGACAAATGGGAAACAGCTCCCTGCATGGAGAAAGCCAGGAAGACAGGGACATGCGGTTGCCAGGCAGATGGGAGGGCTGAGGGGGGCATCATTGCAGGAGAAATTTTAAAAAACAACAACAGAAGTATATACAGGAAGCGACAGACGGTAGTTCTAGGAATCACTGGAAACTTAATGATGAAACCATAGAGGTTCCTCACAATTCCTAGACCTGCCCTTTGTTACTTCCTGTATGAATTTCTGGTAAGGAGAAAGAGCAGCCTCATGTGCTTGATTATTCTCATAGCGGCGGTGGGAAACAGGACCCGGGGGGTGGGGCATGCTACGCCCCTAGTGGGAGAAGAGGTCTGGCTTTCTATAAAGGGACAAAGGCAAAGGCCTAGAAGAACTGGGTGGAAAACGACTGGGGATCTACAAAAAGTCATGCAGCAACCTAGATGGATTCTGTCTGGAAACACAACCCAATTATTACAGAAGAAATCTGCAACAGTCTGCAACCACGACTGCCTGTTGGTTTTTGGAAGCGGGCATGGATACTCCCGGCTGCGACTGTTTTCTCAGCTGCTAAATATCAGGTCCGTAGGTACAGTTCCAGATTATTTCCCCCTGTGTTTGTGGCCTCTTGTGCTCCGATGCGCAACAAATCTTTGTGTCTGCTGGTGTTCTCTGAGATAAATTCAGAGAAAAATAAAGTGTGAACAGATAACGCTGGAGCAGGATGTAGGGACAGCAAAAGGTATCCTCCAAGGTCCAGGGCAAGCAAAAACTAAACCCCGACTGTGCTCACTATACGAGGATTCATCACACTCTAGGACAGATTTTCACACTCACTGCCAACACCTGGGCGTCTCAGCGGCAACTGTTATATTGTCAAATTACAGCTGGGATATTTAATTGGTTCACTGACGAAAGCACATTTTGGTCAGCTGAAAAGCTGCCCCGCTTAATCAATCCGCAGACCGTTTACACAAATTGTTTTTTTAACACAAGGCCTTGTAAAAATTGCAGGCACCAAGTGCCCTTAAAAGAGGCATCGCCCCCTTTTCGTGGAGGAGGGAATGCCTCTTCTAATAGTATCTTAGAGGAAGGTCGGATCAGAACCAAGAGTTTGAAATTAAATCAGAAGAGTTTCCGGCGAAACGTTAGGAAGAACTTCCTGACAGCTAAAGCAGTTCCTCAGTGGAAGAGGCTTCCTCGGGAGGTGGTGGGCTCTCCTCCTTTGGAGGTTTTCAAGCAGAGGCTGGATGGCCATCTGACAGCAATGCTGATTCTGTGAACTTAGGCAGATCATGAGAGGGAGGGCAGGAAGGGGTGCTTCAGTGCTTAGTTCTCGTGGCCGTTTATTACATGCCCAGGGAAATGCCGATCACCCCTTTGGGGTCAGGACGGAATTTTCTCCAAGCCAGTTTGGCCGGGGGTCCTGGAGGTTTTTTGCCATCTTCTGGGCATGGAGAAGGGGTCACTGGGGGAGTATTTGTGAATTTCCTGCATTGTGCAGGGGGTTGGACTAGATGACCCTGGAGGTACCTTCCAACTCTATGATTCTAGGAGGCATTCCCCATTTTCTTGCACACAGGAGTGAATGCCTCTTCTAATATTATCTTAGGAGGAGGCATTCCCCTTACTCTCACATACAGGGGAGAATGCCTCTTCCAATATTATCTTAGAGGAGGCATTCCCCATTCTCTTGCACACAAGAGGGAATGCTTCTACTAATATTATTTTAGAGAAGGCATTCCCCTTACTCTCACATACAGGTGGGAATGCCTCTTCTAAGAAGATACTGGCTACAATGCATGGGTACACATCTAAGCAGGGGTCATTTCGTAGAAAAAGAGGTGCAGGTGCTCATTAGAATAACTCATTAGTATAACTTATTTGCATATGCCACACCCCGACATCACCGGAAGTGTGTCAGAGGGCAACACCCACTGCCCAGGCTCCACTGGACTGTTTTGGATTGCTAGCTATTGGGGGCGGGGAACATGCAGATCTGTCCTCACAGAGGAGGGAGAGCTTGTACCTGAATAAAACTTTGTCTTAAAGGTGCCACTGGACTGTTTTGGGCCGGGGGGGGGGCTGCTCTGCAACTTACCTGGCTGCTTCTTGCTCCTTGTGGCCCGACTGAGGGCTGCTGGGAGCAGGGGGCGGGGCTTGTTGCATGTGCCCGCCCCCTGGGCTCCTTACTGCCGGAGCTCCGCTCCTGTGTTCTCCCGCAGGAAATGACCCCTGCATCTAAGAACTGCATGGGTTTCGCCACGCTCCCCACCTACCTTCTCCGGACTGAAATAGAAGTACACAAGGATGTATAGAGTCTGAAGAGCCGCACCAATGGCATTGACAATGATCAGTGTCCAATCGCCCTTCAGGAAGCCGTAGCTCAGCCAGCTTAGGTTGCTGATTGGGTAGAGAAATGGATAGATAGTAATGGGGGCAGTTAGAGCCGCAGTTTCAACACAGCAGCCAAAGCAGACAGTGTAAACCAGGGATCCCCAACGTGGTGCCTGTGGGCACCGGGGCGCTCACCGACACCTTTCCTGGCGCCCGCCAAGTGTTTTTAGAAAGTGGGCGGGGCCAGGTGGGGCTTTTGCCCAGCAAGGCTTCTGATTGGCCACTTGAGATCTGCTTGCCTGTGCAGATTTTTTAAAAGTTTTGACAGCAGCGGCCATCAAAGTTCAGGGATCTTCCTTGTGTGACTGAAGGTAAGCCACAGCGGCCACTTTGTGGCTAGCCCCGCCTCCTGTGGCAGCCATTGTGCAACTGCGCCCACCACACCATGTCAGAATCCCAAAGGCGGCCTGCAGGCTCAAAAAGGCTGGGGATCCCTAGCCTAGCCAATAAACTGTACACCCCAGAGACAATTTAACAGCAAAAGCAAACGATGGCCATTAGCAAACTGTATCACCCTTCCACGCGCACGCTGCAATTTCACAAAATTGCAGATGATAGCATCAGGTGCAAAACTCAGGTTCCATGGTTTGTTTGTTTTTAAAGCAAATTTCTTGCCGGGGTTTACTCCTGGGTAGACACACCCAGGCGTAAGCTGCAAAGCCGTTTTTGCAGGTTGTAGAACAGAGTTTTGCTCGGCGCACAATTTCAGCTCTGTTTCGTGGAAGCCACCCAGCCGTGCCTCTGTGGGGGCCTCATCAGACTTCCCTCCCCCCAGCCCTGATGTTGTGGGATCTTCCCAGACTCCCCGTGCAAGGGTAGACACCCCAGCTCTGAGCTCTCAGCGGACTTCCTTCCACGAAACGAGAGGCGCACTGACGCACAATCGGTTCCACGCAATCCTCCCCCCCACCAGCAGAATTGCCCCCAAGTGAGAGAGAGAGCCCCTACTTGACGTCCGTGGTGAGGAAAGGTAAGAATTGGATATTCTCCACGCTCTGGGTCGCAAACATCTGTCGCAGGTCAGACCTGGGGGAAGGAAAGATGGGGTAGAGGAGTCACCCTGAGATAATCAGGCTTCAAACTGCAAAATGGGTCCCTTGCAACCGATTCCTTGCTCCAGTGTTTAGCCTGTGCATTTATATGTATTTACTTATACTCCGCTTTTCTACCCACTGCAGCTTATAACACCACTCTCCCTTCCTATTATTATTATTATTATTATTATTAATATTAATAATAACAACAATAATTTTATTAAAATAATTTTAATGAACAATAATTTACAATAATTTATTTATTAAATCTATGAATCACCCCATCCCTACTATTGTAGTGCTCTGGGTGATGTAAGGTAAAAGTAAAGGTTTCCCTTGCTCGAAAGCCAGTCGAAGCCACCAGGTTGGGGCCAGGACTCTAGGGTTGCGGTGCTCAGTTTCCAAACCAAAGAGCCAGAGCTGTCCGAAGACGTCTCCGTGGTCATGTGGCTGGCATGACTAAACGCCAAGGCGCACGGAACGCTGTTACCTTCCCACTGAAGGCAAAGGTTTCCCTTGCTCGAAAGCCAGTCGAATCCATCAGGTTGGGGCCAGGACTCTAGGGGTGTGGTGCTCATTTCCGTTTCCAAGCCAAAGAGCCAGCGCTGTCCGAAGACGTCTCCGTGGTCATGTGGCTGGCATGACTAAACGCCAAGGCGCACGGAACGCTGTTACCTTCCCACCGAAGCGGTACCTATTTATCTACTTGCGATTTCTTGGTTTCGAACTGCTAGGCTGGCAGGAGCTGGGGCCAGAGACGGGAGTTCGCTGCGTCATGCGGCACTCGGGTGATGTACATGGTATTAAAAACAATCACAGTCATCAAGTAAAACAATCGAACATATTAATTCCATTGAAACAGACGGCGAATAGTACCTTCCAGTTAATTATTCCCCCATTACCGACTGCCAGCTGTTTCGTGGGCAGGCGGGAAGAGGTCAAAACTAGGGTGGAAGGCTAAGGAAGGGTGCTCAGTAGGGGTAAAAACCGTTGCCCTCCTCAAACAAATGCCTGGCAGAACGGCTCTGCCTTGCAGGCCCTGCAGAACTGCATAAGGTCCCGCAGGGCCCTAATGGAATTTGGCAGAGAGTTCCACCAGGTTGGGGCTGTGGTGGCTCAAGTGGTTAAGACGCTGACGCAGTTCGAGACCTGAGTGCCGCATGACGGAGTGAGCTCCCGTCTCTGGCCCCAGCTCCTGCCAACCTAGCAGTTCCAAAGCAAGCAATCACAAGTAGATAAATAGGTACCGCTTCGGTGGGAAGGCAATAGCGTTCCATGCGCCTTGGCGTCTAGTCATGCCAGCCACATGACCACGGAAATGTCTTCGGACAGCACTGGCTCTTCGGCTTGGAAACGGAGATGAGCACCGCATCCCTAGAGTTGGATTTGACTGGCTTTCGAGCAAGGGAAACCTTTACCTTTACCTTACCTCCACCAGGTTGGGGCCAGGACCGAAAAATACCTGGCCCTGGTCAAGGACAGCCAGACAACAACCAGCGTGTTGTTGTTCAACACCCTTCCAGGGACATAACAGAGGAGCCGGTCCTGTAGATATGTTGGTCCCTGACCGCTCGAGGCCTTATAGGTCAAAACCAAACCTTAAACTTGATTTGGTATTCCACTGGAAGCTAGCATAGCTGGTGCAGCACTGGAGGTACATGCGCCGTCCGTGACGTTCCCGTCAGGACTCGTGCTGCCGCATTCTGGATCAGTTGGATCTTCCGGGTCAATCTCAAGGGCAGGCCAGCGTAAAGCGACTTACAGCAGTCTAGCCCGGAGGTGACCGTTGCGTGGAGTACCATGCCTAGGTCCAGGCGCGACAGGAAGGGGGGCAGTTGCCGGATCTGGTGTAGATGAAAAAACGCCAGTCTGGCGATCTGTGTGACCTGGTCCTACGTGTTCTCCTCACAACAACCCTACGGGGTAGGCTAGGGTGAGGGACTGGCCCAAAGTCACCCAGTGAGGGACTCCAACCTGGGTCTCCTGGACCCGATCCTAGCACACTAGTCTAACAATTCAGTGCTTAGTCCTTGTGGCCCTTTCTTACACGCCCTGGGAAATGCCGATCGCCACTTTGGAGGCAGGAAGCAATTGTTCTCCAGGCCAGTTTGGCCAGGGTTCCTGGAAGGGTTTTTTTGCCATCTTCTTGACATGGAAAAGCAGTCACTGGGTGTGGGGGGGGGGAAGTATTGGTGAATTCCCTGCATTGGGTGGAGGGTTGGATTAGATGACCCTGGAGGTCCTTCCCACTCTACGATTCTATGATCCTTCTACCATCCTCCTCCCAGCTTTGCCCCATAGCTCCACATCCATTAACCACCCCCCATGCTTCCCCACAGTCCCATCCCATGCCCTACACTAACTCTCCCCCTCCAAACTCAATGCCCGTCCAGTGCCACTTTCTCCACGCCCACATCCTGGATCTGCCCCAGAGTTCTGCGCGCTATATCATAGGAGCATTACCCCTGACCTGCATCCTCATGTCCCTTCACCCCGCCTTGTTTTCTTTTTTAATGCTCACATCCGGGTCCTACCTCACACGGCGGCATACTTGGTGCCACGAACCTGCAGGCTCTGTGCCCCATAACCAATGCTCCCTCTAAGCTGTAGAGGTCTTGTGAGCAAAAACTCTACTTTGTGAGCGACTGGCATTAAAGTTGTGAGCGAGGGATTTGGCTGCTGCATAAATTAGTTCGCTTTGGAGCTATCTTTCCTGAGCGAAGACAAAAATGTGTGAGCCGGAGGCTAAAAAACTGTGAGCTAGCTCACCCTAACTCAACTTAGAGGGAACACTGCCCATAACCTGTGCCCCAGACAGTCTCTCAGCACTTGGTTCTGCTCCCCCCAGAACTGAAACCGTGGTGCACCCCTAGTTTGTAGTTATTTTTTAATGCCCACATCCGGGTCCTGCCTCACAGGAGCATGCCGGGTGCCACGGGCCTGCGGCTCTGTGCCCCATAACCTGTGCCCCAGGCAGTCCTTCAGCACTTGGTTCTGCTCCCCCCAGAATTAAACACTCTGCACGGCGGCGCACCCCTAGTTCCGCCCCCTATACCTGCGCCTTTGGCGACGCACGCTGCTTTGCCCCACTGCACCGCGCAACGTGGTGCGCCTATCGCCGCGCAGAACCCGCCCCCTGCCCCAGTTCTCTGCCCCATGGCACGGCATGGCGCCCCCCGTGCCCAGGCCACGTTCCTGGCTCTGCACCCCCTCCCCCCGGCGGCCAGCCCCCTTTCCCGGATGCGCTCACAGGCCCGTCCCGAACATGCCGAGGGTGAAAGCCAGGCAGGCCACCGAGAGCAGCTGCAGCACCGCCGGACCCATGGCTGCAGCAGGCAGGAAGAGCCGCCGGCCGCGGGCAGCCAGATCCGCCGCCAAGCCCCGGGCGCCGCCTCTCGCGCCGCCCAGCCGCCTTTGACACGCCGGGACC